ATCACCATCTCCACTACCATCACCACCTTCACCACCATCACCATCACCATCACCATCACCTTCACCGCCACCATCACCATCACCACCATCACCATCACCACCATCACCATCACCATCACCATCACCATCATCATCACCACCATCACCACCATCACCATCATCACCATCATCACCACCAGCACCACCACCATCATCACCATCATCATCATCACCACCATCATCACCACCAGCACCACCACCATCACCATCACCACCACCATCACCATCATTGTTAATGATGTTTAAGGAAACAAAGAAAGTAGAAGCAAGATGAGGCCATTCATCCCATTGAGGCTCGCTGCCGTTTAACATGATTGTGCCTGATCCTCTAACTCATTACCACATTCCTTCTTTGCCTTGACACATTGAGCCTCTAGAAGTCTCATGTGTTTCTGGCTTCAGTATATTCAGTGACCTAAACTGTTCAGCCTTTTGTGATACTGAATTCCATAAGATCATTAACTTCTCAGTGAAGAAATTTCACCTCATCTCATTTCAAAATGACCAACCATGTTCCCTCACTGTAAGCCCCATTCTGGAACCCCCTGTATCCAGTCTGTTCATTGGTGTCGGAATGTTTTATGTTTCAATGAGATCCCCTCACATCCTTCTAGACTCTAGTGAATACAGGCCCAACTGAGCCAAACTGTCTTCCTAGCAGAGTCCCCAGTACCAGGCTAGAGACCCTCCCACTGCACTGCCTCTATTCTGCCTTAGGTAGGGAAACCAAACCTGTATGCAGTACTCCAGGTGTGCTCTCACCAAGGCCCTGTCTAACTGCAGTAAGACATCACTATTTCTCAACTTCAGAGCTACTGCAATGGGGGCCAATGTATAATTTGCCTATCTAATTGCTTGCTGTACCTGCCTGTCTGCATTCACTGTTTGATCTATAGGGATACCTAGATCCCTCTACACACCCACACTTCCCAATAGATCACTTTTTAAATAACACTCTGCCGTTCTGTTTTCCTGCACATTGATCCACATTATGTGTTTGCCCACTCACTTATCTAAAACACGTTCTTTATGTCCTCCTCACCACTCACACTCCCACCTAGCTTTGTGTTGTCAGCAAACTTAATATTACATTTGATTCCCTCATCCAAATTGGTGGTGTATGTTCTGGCAGGCTGGGGCTTAAGCACTGTTCCCTGCAGTACCCTACTAGGCACTGCCTTCCACCATGATAAAGCCCTATTAATTCAGACTCCTTGTTTTCTTCCTACTGCTGATTCTCAATCCGTGGCAGTATATTCCCAACACTCCCATATACTTTAATTTTACAAACTGTTGGGGAGGCAATGGGCCTAGTGGTAACATCACTAGATTTTTTTTTCATTATTCATTCACGGATGAGGACATCTCTGGATAGACCAGCATTTATTGCCCAACCCTAATTGCCCAGAGGGCAGTTTAAGAGTCAACCCCATTGCTGTGGGTCTGGAGTCACGTGTAGGCCAGACCAGGTAAGGATGGCAGTTTCCTTCCCTAAAGGATATTAGTGAGCCAGATGGGTTTTTCTGACAACTAACAGTGGATTCATGGTCATCATTAGACGCTTTTCCAGTTTTTTTTAAAATTGAAAATTAACTCAAGTTCCACCATTTGCCATAGCAGGATTTGAAGCCAGCTCCCCAGGGTCTCCAGATTAATAGTTCTAACAATAATACCACTAGGCCATCATCTCCCCTGGCAGCCAGGTAATGTTCTGGGGACCTGGGCTTGAATTCTGCCACAGCAGATGGTGCAGTTAGAAATTAATTTTTAAAAATCTAGAATTAGAAGTCTAATGATGACCGTGAAACCATTGTCAATTACTGGGGGAAAAAAACCCATCTGGTTAACTAATGAACTTTAGGGAAGGAAATCTGTTATCCTTACCTGGTCTGACCTAGAGGTGACTCCAGACCTGCAGCAATGTGGTTGACTCTTAACTACCCTCTGGGTAATTAGGGATGGGCAATAAATGCTGCCTAGCCAGCGATGCCCTCATCCTGTGAATGAATATAAAACAAAACTAAACTCTTATTGCTGACTCGGCCAAAAGATTTCTGTAAGTCCAAACACATCACATATGACCCATTGACACTGAGCTGGAGAGAAAACTGTGTACGGGCTGTCTGTGAAGAAGTTCTTTCTAACATGGGGTCTTGCCTCTTTGAAAGGTGGCTGTGGAGCCACCACAGGGTCTGAAGAACAAACTGCTGACCAGTTTCGGAAGCAGCGGCTTGGGGGAAGTGACAGAAAGAATCTACATGAAGGAGAATGCAAGCCTCAGCTGGAGGAGGCTGCTCTTCAGTCTGTGCCTCTTCAATGCCATTATCCAGGAGAGGAAGAAGTATGGAGCTTTGGGCTGGAATATCCCGTACGAGTTTAGCTCTTCTGATCTGGAGGTAGGTACAAGGAGGCATTCTCCCCCTTTCCAGGAGGTGTTGCTATGTGTAAAGATGAGAGGGTTAGAGCTGACAGGGTCTAATTCCCAGGCACATGTGGAATTTCTGCAGGATTCCAGGAACCCCTCCGTGATCATTCCAGACAAGCCTCAAAAATATTTAAGCGAGGGACTGTGTCTAAAAGCCATACGCTAGTGTAACATACCAGGGTGAGAGGGTACTTGGAGTTCCCTGTGACCCCAGGATTTAATCAGTCAATACACATATCATTCTGCCCAGGAACACCATCAGACACTGTGGCGCTATTTTTGAAAATGAACCTTCATTTCCTACACATCCTGATTTGGAACTGTTGTAATTAACTGGCGTATGTGCTCCACAGCTACACTCAGAATCTGAGCACAAGTCATGAGCAGTTGCAAACATCCTTCCCAACTCAAGTCTGCAGTTCAATCCTTTCATTCATCAATAACATCATTCACATCTTCCATTTCTTAGCTACAACTCCTTCATAACATTGCAATCCATTCTCAGAACTTGATCCAGGATTTTACATTCAATATTCATATTTATGTTTCATATTTCATGTAATTTCAATATTCATATTGTGACTCCCAGTCATTCTGTTGGACAGTGAATAAACTATGAGCCCGTTTCATTCCTGTTACATACTGTCAGAAATGCTCATTCTGTCCATCCAAACACACTCAAAAACTTTCATTAGTCTCTGTTTCAGCAACTTTTGCTGCTTCAAGGTGGGTACAATTATAACATTTAAAAGGCATCTGGATGGGCATGTAAATAGGAAGGGTTTAGAGGGATAGCAACCAAATACTGGCAAATGGGACTTGGTCAGACTGGGATATCTGGTCAGCATGGATGACTTGGACCGAAGGGTCTGTTTCTGTGCTGTATGACTCCATGACTCTATGAAAGGTTAGAGGCAGCTTTAATCCATATTTAATCCTGTGCTCTTCCTCTAATGGGAGTGTTTGTTGGGGACAATGAAGAGAGAGCATTAATTTCAATTTAAAAGAGTAGAGGAAGCTTTCCTCTAGATCTAATCCTGTGCTCCCCTTGTCCTGAGAGTGTCTGATACGAACAATGTGTACGGAGAGCTTTACTTTAGTTTAAAAGAGAAGGGGTGTATTATTTTCAGGTTTAATGAGTAGAGAGAGCTTTACTCTACATCTAACCCCTTACTCTATCTATTCTGGGAGGATTTGTTGGGGGCAGTGTAGTGGGAGATTTACTGTGCATCTAACCCCATGCTGTCTCTGTCCTGGGTGTGTTTGATGAGGACAGTGAAGAGAGATTTTATTCTGTATCAATCCCTGTGCTGTGCCTGTTGTGCTAATGTTTGATGGGGTCAGTGCAGAGAGAGCTTTACTCTGTATCTAACCCCGTGCTGTCCCTGTCCTAGGGATGTTTGATGGGGGGGGACAGTGCAGAGAGAGCTTTACTCTGTATCTAACCCCATGTTGTCCCTGTCCTGGGAGTGTTTGATGGGGACAGTGTAGAGGAAGCGTTGAAAGAATAAAAACAACCTTCCCATTGAGGTAGCCAAGTAGACCATGGTCACCCTAGCATCATGAGCAGTGACCCATGGTCATTGGCCAAGAGGATTTAGATAGGTCCTGGACACAGCAGAGATGGTCAGCCCCCAAAGGAAGGGCCATAATTAGGGGAAGAGGTTTAGGGTGTGTGAAGCAGGAGGCAGAGACCAACCAGGAGCAGGGCTCAGTGAAGGAGAGCGATGCAAAGGCCTGGAGTCTATGAGAAGGTAGAGCTGCCTGACTGTAATGGGTCCAATAGGCAGTAAATAGTCTTCACCCCAAGGTATTGGGAAATGGAGATTTCTGCTGAAGGTTGGCTACAACCTATTCCTGACAATGTCTTTGTGTTCCCCACATAAGGTGGCCATTCTGAATCTGGAGATGTTGGTTTACCACGAGGTGGAAATCCCGTGGACAGCACTATGCTACCTGACAGGAGAGGTGGTATACGGAGGCCGGGTCACTGACAACTGGGACAGGAGATGTCTCAACTGCACCCTCAGCAAATTCTACAACCCCGATGTACTCACTGAGGGTTTCAGCTTTTCCACTGATAGGGTGAGCTTAACATCAAGACAAAACCCTTCTCTTCTATCACTCAAATCTGTCCACAGTCAGCATCGTTGTGGGTGGGTGTGTGTGTGTGTGAGAGTG